ATTCATCAGAACTAAAATTAAACAGAGAAAAATATGAGTAGTTGAACAACTGAAAACTTAAAGTTATCAGACTAATTTTATCATCAGTTGCGTACCCTCACTACTAGTAATTGTCCCAGTGGCACATTGGTATGTCTGCGGGCTTATACTGCTAGAAACCTGGTTTCGGTACTTGTGGTTGGCAGAGCACAGATAGCCCTTTGTGTAGCTTTGTGATAATAAACAAAGAAACTACTAGTAATGATGTTGTGCTTAATAATAAACAAACAAACTACAAGTAATTATGTTTTCATCCGTATTCCAAATATCTTTTCATAAGAACAACTAGCACAGGAGAGTTAAGTAAGGCCTAAATTCTTATATATATATATACTTCTGTAAAATGTAAATCGCTCAATAGTGTTTAATTGTTGATTGACAGTATAGCACGCATATCATCTCAGCTAAAATTTTCACAGTATCTTGGCAAGAGGCGAAAGATTTTGCTTGTAACAATTTACAAACTGTAGAGAAATTACTATTGTTCGCTTTACATTTACTGAAACATGTTTCAGTCGAATCTTTCATAATCAAATATTAAACTTTTACTAAGCTTATCTTGTAACGAACTTAAAACAAAACGCTGTTGCAACCAAGGTTGAACAAAAAACACTTCATCGAAATGTAACACCAGAAATTCAAAACAAAATTTTCAAGCAACTAGAGTATAAATTTTACCAATTTCAAAAAACAAAAAAAAGTTAGTAAACCCGTGCCTGACCATGACTTGATAACAAGTTCATAAACAATGCAACATAAATCTCAATGTTATTAATTTCAATATGTAAAGGAATTGGGAGAAAAAACAGAAGAAGAAAATACACAATATTACAAAATTGAACCACTTCTCAAGATCAATAACAATATTGAGCAACAATCAGCAATGATTCGTTCTAAATATCTCGTGAACTAATTCGTTTAAGATCAAGAAATGTTTTTTAGTAGTTACACTACGAGGTATTCAAATTATTAAGTATTTTTTCTGGTAACTCCTTACACTTTTTACCATAAAATAAGGTGTTATATCTTTAAATTGTCAACAAATATATTTCAAAATATTCAACTATTATGATTTGCAGATAGTAATCTTTATTCTTTTTAATTCTACAAAAGGAATATTTAACCTAATATGAAAGCATGAATTATTAAATGTGTTTAATCGTCAAAGATTTTAGATAAAAAATTTAAGTTTTAAGAATTTATCGTAAGTGCTGTAAAAAGTTTGTTCAAGCTCTTTTTATAGACTTTATTCACTTTGTTCAACCTCTGGAACATATATCATATGTACTACTTTAGAATTTAAAAAGTTTCATGTTGGTAACAATACTCTTAAAAAGGAATTACTGAAGATGTAACTGAGGTATGGACATCAATTTAATGTCTTACGAAATATTTTAAAACCAATTCAGTAATGAATTGGAAGCCATAGATATTCAATTGAATATCTCCACTTTGTTACTGCTGACATTCAATTGAAGTTTTAAAGAAGTGACTACAATTTTCTTACGTTTTTATGAAATTTCTCGTTCTAGTCTAATGCTTTTGTCATCTGAATTGTTAATAACCTGTTTATATAATACACAGACATTTCCGATAAAGGTTAATTGAAAATTGTTTGTAAAAACACGTCAGTATCTAAAGTTTCTTTGCTAAGCTTAAGCTACCATTTAGTTTAACTAATTAAAAATCAACTATCAATGTTTATTTGCAACAGATTAAAATTTTTAATCAGAATAGATTTGTTCTTATATTAATAGGAATTGCATAATCTAAATTATAAATTTATACAATCGTAGCAACAAAAAAAAACACACACACAGAAAACGCAATTTTGGTTTGAGTAGTAGTAACTGACTACTAGGAAACAGGAAGTTGCTTGTCTAAATTTATTTCTCAAAACATACAGCTAATTTACTCAATTTTTTTGTTAACTGTATATTAGTTGTCTCAATAAATTAAAGAGGCCAACATTTGCGGGCGAATGCATCATGTCTCCGCCACGCAATCTCAACATGATAAATTTTGACACTAAAAAGTTGTGAAAAACATAGAAAAATCAAAAACTATCTATATTACTGCTTGGGACGTACAAAAAGGTATCTTTGTACCAAATCCCATGTAAGATTCTTGACATACACACATTAACAGTTCACAAAAACTACAAATTGTGCGTTCCTTTCTCAAAAATTAAGCAAAAAAATACAAATTCCAAAATTGTCTATATCTATGTTTGAGACCTGTAAAAAAAGTATCTAAATCTCATGTAAATCAGCCAAAATACGGCAGAGTAATTGTCAAAAAAACCATAAAATAATGCTTTTTGTGGCATCTTTACCGCCCATATAATCACTAAAACTGGACAAGTCCATCATTACTGTTTGTCAATGTGTGTTGCCTGTAGAAAAGTATCTTTGTACCAAATTCCATGTAAATTGGTCAAAACAAGGCTAAGTAATTGACCAAAACTCCTAAACTTATTAGTATATTTAACCTTTTGACCTCTCAAAACTATCAAAGATGAGCAAATCCCAAATTTTTATATTTATATGAATGGGAACTGTAAAAAAAAAGTATTTTTGTACCAAATTCCATATAAATTGGCTGAAATACGGCGGAGTAATTGTCAAAAAGCCCTAAAATTATGCTTGTTATAGCACCTTGACCCCCTATAATTAGTAAAATGGGCAAGTCCATTATTTTTTATTTATCTATTTTTGTGGGACCTGTAGAAAAGTATCTTTGTATCAAATCCCATGTAAGTTGAACGAAGTACCGCCGAGTAGTTGATCTGAGACCCCAAAATTATACTTTTTTCTGAGCTTTGACTTTCCTAAAAAGACTCTAAATGGACAAATCCAACTTTTTGTATGTTAAAAAATGTTATTGTCTGCCGGACCCAATCCCAAACATTCCATTAATTATACAATTAACTGTGATTCTCTCTCTAGTCTGTTATATAGTGTAATTAAGCTAAATTTTATGTCTTTTGGCATATAGTTCGAAATAAATATTAATATTTAAGTATATAAGTAAGTTGTTTGTAAGGTAACTAGCAATTAAAGATCAGGTGAGTAAGTACAACATTCATTTGTAAATACATAATGTTACAATGATACGATACATTTAGCTTATCGTGTGGGTCTTTACGG